AGCACCCATGCCTCCTACAGTCACTGTGTAGCTTCATTACCAGAGCAGGATATTACTGTTAATACTGCAATCCTGGCATTTGTTTCTAAAGATTCTTCACTTCAGTTGAATAAGATACTAGTCCCTTGTCCCTGCTTTTCACCCACCATAAAGTGCCGTAAACAGGAATGAGGATCTTATCCAAAATGATTTTTCACCCATTTGACACTAGTGTCCATCATTTAAACCCCCCAAATTCCCAATATACACACTTGCATTTGCCTATTTCTAATTTTATTGCTACCTGGACTAAAACTGAATTAAATATGTGGTATTTTCCCTAGCAATTTTTAAAAATGGAAACTAAGAGCCTGAACATTTCTCTAAGTCAGGGGAAGGCAATTATTTTGGGCAGAGGGCCACTTACTGAGTTTTGGCAAGCCATCAAGTGCTGCATGACAGGCAGCTCAGGGCAGATAAACGTTAATTTTCTACATTTTTTAGGGGCCCCACGGGCGGGATAGAATGGCCTGGCAGGCCGCATTCGGCCCCTGGGCTGCATTTTGCCCACCCCTGCTCTAAGTCTTATTACAACCCTGGCTGTTACATCTTGGTGTAGCTGCTGGTCCCAAACACAGATAAAATGAGGAGACTAATCTCCTCGCCTCGTAAAAAGAAAAACACGCCTCTGGGCACAGAAACAGGACAAGACTTCCAGTCTTTAAAAGAAGTGGAAAGACATCTATGCATATGCTCCAGGGTGGGGCTTGGGTTAATTAGAGCAGCTCTTCGGAGCCACTCTAATTAAAACACCCACAACATCTTGTGTATTCAGTACCCCGTGCTTTAGTTAAAGCACCCTACTGCCATTTTGAAATGTGGAGATCCTGAATAGACGTGCCGGTGAGGCTGCTGCAGCATTCTAATTAGAATGTGGTACCGCAAGCATCCTGCACATGTACAGGCACCAGAAGAGACTAGTTTCTGCTCTGTGCAGCAATGTTGCCCCAGGAAGGATAACAGAATAACTCTCGTTTTCCAAAAGAGTATTTTCTAATTTGTGAGCATGTTATGCTCATGTTAATCTCCTTGGGAGTGTCTTTGACTCTAACAGACATACAGCTCCTCGCTCTAACTCATGGCTCTTCAAAGAAAGTGCCATGAGTTACAGTGACACCCCCCTGGACCTGACAAACATTCGTTGTTGGGTCAGGAAGGTAGGGGATCAAGCTCCACTTTGGAGCTGATACAGAAGGATCTGCCTCTCCACAGGCTCTCTTCCCTAGCTGCATTAGCCCAGCTCTGATCGTGTGTAGAGACAGACAGAAGTTAATGAAGGCACTCTGCTTTGGAGCACATTATTCTAAACCCTCATCACAAAAAGGCTAATTTTTTGCATGATCAAGCACTTTTAAAGTGCTCTGCAGCCATGCACTTCTATAATTATATGATTCTATCAGGGCACGGCTGCAGTGTACTTTCAAGGGACTGATCATGTAACCAATGCCACTTCTATCAGTGTCCTTGGGCTGCCCTGAGCCAGGTGTTCCTGTCTTCTCGTTTTGTCCACATAGAAAACTCATGTAAGTTTGGGTACATGAATCAGCCCTCCTATTTCTTCTATGTTTATTCCCTGCTATTATCCATCATGAGATACAAAATGTGTTTAAATATAATAAGGGGAAACTTAAGGAAATATACCATTATGAAAGTCTGATAAAAACTAAACAGTGACTGTAAGAGGAGTGCTAATGGTACTTTAATATAACAGAACAATTTTATTGATACTCTGTATCTTCAACCCCATCATTAGTGAATTTGTTATGATGTGAACTACAAGGAAATTGATTGAAATCAATATGGACTTCCTTAAGAAACATATTATATTACACTTTTTTCCCCTCTATAGTATCAATGTTAGCATTACCAAACAAGGTTCCCTGCTGGTAAATCCATATTTTTTGGTGCGTACATATTAGTAAATCAGCATACTCAATACATATTTCCAGTTCAAGAACTTTAGTCATGTCAGCATAGTACTGCTAATTTAACTTCATTAATTTAAATTCCAAGAGTGACCAGGAATAATGGTCACAAGCTGGCAGAGGGTAGATTTAGGCTAGATATCAGGAGGTGCTACTTCACGGTCAGGGTGGCTAGGATCTGGAACCAACTTCCAAGAGAAGTGGTGCTGGCTCCTACCCTGGGGTCTTTAAGAGGAGGCTAGATGTACACCTTGCTGGGGTCGTTTGACCCCAGTACTCTTTCCTGCCATGGCAGGGGGTTGGACTAGATGATCTACTCAGGTCCCTTCCAACCCTAGAAACTATGAAACTTTCATAATTTCATTGTGAATCCTATGATTACATGAAAATATATTTGATTTTTAAAAAGAAAAAAAATCTAGCCCTGGAAACTGCAGAGAAAAGCTTGAAAATGTGAACCAGATTACCCTGGTGATTCTCAGCCAGGGTGATGTGCCACCTGGGATGCTGCCAGATCCTTTAAAGGGTTCCACAAGTTGTGAGGAGATGAGAGAGATCTAAGAAGATAATCACATAAGCACAGACTTGGGCTTGTTCTTCCCAGGCCCATTCCTTATCTTTATAGCCTGGCTCCTATGCAAGAAGGTAAGCGCTGTAATACAAAAAATAATTTCTAAAATTGGGTGTCTTTCAATTCAGAAAATATATGGTGTCTTCAATCTAATGAAGGCTGCCTCAAGTCAAGAAATGTTAACAACCACTGACTTACAGGTTCATACCCCAAAGTCTCACAAAGCAGAGGACAAATAAAAAGAACCCAAAGTGCATTAGTGTTTAAAACCTCATGATTTTCCAGGTCTTGACTTGTGATTCCTGAACACTTGAGGATGGCAATATTGCTAGTCTCAGTTAAAATTATTTCGTTCCATCTTAGCTTTTTCTTCTCTCTTCTTATAATACCATTATATTATCTTATAATAATGCCATTATAATGAACACCCCTGGGACCAGGAGAAAAGTTCATTAAAAGACAGTGTTTACTATAAGAGAGTTAGTTGATTTGCTGCATGGTAACAATATAAAAAAAACCATTTCCTGCTGTTGGGATTGTTAAAAGAAGGGGTTCTTAAAAACAAGGTTTGTTATAATGAGGCTTTACTGTCTTAGATCTTTAACACTAACTGATATCATTTGGGATTTGGGGTATTCAGTTTGCATGGAAGGGGTCACATATCCAATTGTATGGTTCCTAATATTCACGTAGTTGCCTCAGGGGGAGTTATATACCAAAGAGTAGTTCTAATTCTGCGAAGTGTTTTTATAGCACCTTCTTAGTCAGCATTTTTGCACCCTGTGGTTGCATAATTTTGCCTTTTTAGCAGGACAATTTTATTTTTGCTTGCATTTTAGCTGGTAGTAAGAAAAAACCTATAAAAGAGAGTGAATTAGATTCTCTTCTACTGTCATCAGCATAAAGTGAATTGCTTGCCAACTGAATAATCTTTAACTTAAAGTTCTCAACTTTAACTTCATTTTAACTACACTGACAACAGTAGAGGCAAGCAATCTAATCCTGACTCAGTTCATACCCAAGTTCATACATATGCCAGCTCAAATCATTTAAATTTATTGTACCTCAGTATTCCCAGAAGAAAATGGGAGTAAGCAGATCCATCTTTGCCAAGAGGTTTCAGAGATTAACCAAGAGTTTTAGAGTTCTGCATTTCTTTTTGTCTTAGACCAACACAGCTACCATATACATCCCTGAAGCATAAATGTAACACATTATTCCCCAGTATGTTGACATCGTGCACTGTGTCTTGAGGGCAGCGGCAATGTGTACGGGGTGCACATGTGTGCATGTGTACCCCTTGAGAGCACTGGTGCACACCCTGATTGGCCACACTCGCCACTTAGGCAATGGTCAGAGGGGGCTGGTGGGAGTGCCAGTGTCCCCCCTGCAAGCGCCGGCCAATCACTGCAGCTTCTCCCAGAAGCGGCCACAGCCACTCCAGGATGCAGCTGCAGCAATTATAGTTTCATAGTTTCATAGATTTAGGGTCGGAAGGGACCTAGTAGATCTTCTAGCCCGACCCCCCGCCAATTAACTCCAGGATGCAGCTGCAGCAATTATAGTTTCATAGTTTCATAGATTTAGGGTCGGAAGGGACCTAGTAGATCTTCAGCCCGACCGCCCCCCCCCCCAATTAACTGTGGGGAAACTCCCTCCGGGCAGCAAGATCTGCCATGGGGGAACCCCTCCCTGATGGGCATCAAGATCTGCCATAAGGGACCCCCCCGGGGCAGCAAGACTGGTCACGGGGGGGGGAGGGCATGTGCCCCCCTGAATAAGGTGGCACCAGTTGCCCATGCTTGAGGATGTGGCACATCCTGATATCATGTGAGAGACCTAGGCCTGTGGTTGTGACTCTTGAAACTTGGTTGTTTCTCCAACCAGGAAACCCACTAGCACAGTGATGTTCAATGAGGGAGCCTTTTAATGTGCCTCAGAGTGCCATACATTGTTAGTATTGTTAGGTGTGCAAACATGACCCACAATATAAACCCAGGGATTTCAAAAAGGTTCCCATATTATTAAATATATTGTGATCTGTTATGGTTTTTCCAAGTTCTTTGCAACAGAAAACCTACTCTATTATTTTTTCATTGTCAAAAAATGAGTGGAAACTAAGAGCTGGCAGTTTTTGAGGGTTGCCTTGAATCTAACAAGGGGTGCATTGAATCTGAAAAGGTTCAGAATCACTGCAGTAGCAGCAGCATTGGAGCTAAGCTGTAGGATCTCAAATTCTGCAGCAAACTACTCATTCTGTCCACCCCTAAGACCAACACTGGGTGTTGGAAAGAAAGTATCCAGTATGACTGGAAGGAGATGAGGGGAAAAAAGGACTCTGACTGAGCAGGGAGTTCCTCAGTTGATACCTGAATGCTCAACTACAAAAATACTCATTAGGTGGTACACTGATTAGCAATGGAACTGGTGACCACCACTCATTGAAAATGTCATTAGCATCTTACCTGCTTGTTGGCTTTCAGCACTGCCCTCAGGGTTGCTATCTGCTCCCTTTTGGTACTCAACAGTGACTTCAGTTTCAGGATCTCTTCCATTAAGGCTTCCTTGTCCTTATCAATCATGGGTGCCAGCTCACGTGCTGCTGCGCGCTGGCGAGACAGCTGCACTGACCGATCAACAGCCTTCTGCAAGTGCTTGATTTGGTCCCTTATTATGGCATTTAGGTTGTAGATATTCATTGGCTCTTTGCGAATGTCACTGGTATCAGAGACTGGAGATGAAGGAGGGGCCGTGATGATAGGAGAAATGGTAGGTGTCTTTGTTGGGCTTTGTTCTTTACCGACTTCTGTGCTCTCTTTTGAAACCTGCTCAGTTGGGGTCCTGGCTTCTACTGGGGATGCCACCCCTCTTCTGGCGAGCCGAGGAGAGAGAAGCCCCCTGGGATCATCAGGTCCCTTCAGACTCCCACTACGGGTAACTCTACTTTGCCTGTAATAGTCCAGCATGACCCTGTTTGGCGTTTCATTGTTACACAGACAAACATGATGATAGAGCTGAGCCAACTCCTCACTAAAGGTTACCAACTCATCCTGGGCGGTGTTGAGGGTATTATGGTTTTCATTTGCTATGCTTGTCATCCTTTGCAACTCTTTTTCCATGTGAACCATTTTCTCGTGGCTTTCCTTAGTTGATTTCTCGAGGTTTGTCACCTGCTCATCATACATCTGGATTCTGCTCTCATACTTTGTCTTTTCTTCAGTGTAGTTTTCTACATACTTATTGTACTTCTCCTTTAAGGCTTTGATTTCAGCTTTAAGGTCAATCACCTCTGTCACGGCAACCTTGTATTTACACTCGAGAATCTCTAAGCCGTTGATGTCTACTTCGTAGTCATGTGTTTCCTCCCCAGAGTCCCGGCCCTTCTCAAAATCTAGCTCTGCCTTCAGTTCTTTGTTGCTCTGCAGCCCTCTCATGGCATTGACATGCTCCGTGAGTTTGTGGACTCGCTCATGTTGCTCTGTCAGTGCTCCTTTTGTGTGTTCCAGCTGTGTCTGGGATTCCTGAAGGTTGGCCAAGAGAATAGCTTTTTCTCTCTCCACCTGGAATGATACAAGATAAATGTCTGAGAAGGCAATGAAACTAAGAGATACAGGACAGTTCTCATTCTACCTGTGTTTCTATGGTGGTCAACAAACACTGCAAACAGCATTTGTCCCCCAAACAATATACTCTAGTTGAAATTTTCAAAGCACTCAAGGAGACTGAGACATATTATTCACTGATTTTAAAATAAAATTGTAGAAATTAAATAACAAAGATTTGTGGTCATTTTTATATTATTATTACTTATCCTACCTAATTCCCTATTAATTCTCCTTAGCCACTGACTGATCATTGCAGGTTTTCACTAAATATCAGATTGATCCTGAAATAAGTTCCATAAGTTTTAAATAAGCATCAACCTTCATATCATCTGCCTCATGATATAACGCAGCATCCTGCTTCATACATGTTTCGTCAAAGTTTCTGTATTTATGTATTTCTAGTAGAAAGTATAGCTATTCCTTTACTCATTATATATTTATAACAGTGCATATGCCTATAAGGTTCAATAAAGAATATCCAGAACATTGATGGGATGCTTTGGATACTCTGGACAACCTTCCAAAAATATATTACAGGGATGCATAAATTCTCACACATAGAATAACCCAGCAACTACCTACAAATATAACATGTTTGGAAGCAGCACAAACACAGTCCCTAGAGCTTGACAGCACCATTACTCACCCTTGCACAAAACATACTTCCTCAAGGACATGGGAGAAAAAATGGGCCTTGCAGTGCACCCTGAAGATTAAAAAATGGGACTGCACATAGATGGTGTCACTCAAAGTCTACTAATATGTACATGTGTAATACAATTTAGGACTGAAACATCTCTCTCCCTGAATGGAGGAGGAGAAAGACAAACAAAAGCTATGCTACCCCTGGCTTTGAACTATATTAATTCCCTCCTGCATTTCCATAGGGAAATCTGTGTGTTGAAGAGGGGATGGTTGGTGCTGTGGAGAATGCCATATCCCCAGTGGTTTTAATAAAGAAAATCTGAAAGCAAATGAACCAAGTTAATGGTTGCTAGTTTTGGTCTGTTCAAACATTGACTATCACATAAAAAAACATAATGTTTTAAGTTTCATGCCTGCCTTTGTCCAATTTTGAACTACTGAATACCATGAAAATAAGTAGGGGTGCACTGATAGAGTTTTTTTTGGGCCAATACCAATAGCCAACTTTTAATGAGCCATATCAGCCGATATCGATCCAATTGGCAATATGCAGTCAAGCAGCTTGAATAGCAGCATCAGGGTAGTAAGTCTGCTGGGAAGGAAGGGGCAGGGGGGAGGGAAGGAGCAGGGGGTGCAGATTGAGGCTCCCACAGTGAGCGAGGAAGTGGGGCTGGGGCAGGGGCTGCGCAGCCAAGGCAGAGCACGGGATGGGGCCATGAGCAGCTCATATGCGAGGGTGTGGGAGGGGGGGCAGTTCCTGCTACTACGCACACCCCAGGAGGGCACGGGAGACGTGTGCCCCCAGATCTGCGTGTGGGGAGAGGGCGGGCTGCCGCTGCACGCTGGGGCCAGGGCAGTGCCCTGCTGTTCCAGGCAGGGGGCTGAGCCAGGCTGTGCTTGGAGAGGGTGGTGGTGGCACTGGATAGAGGGCTGGGGGGGGAAGGCTGCAGCCACTTCAGAATCTGCTGTAGCCCCCCCATAGCACCATTCCCAGTGCCACCACCACCTGCTCCAAGTGCAGCCTGGTCCAGCCCCCCCACTGGGAAGAGCCCAGCACTGCCCCGGCCTCAGCCTCCAACAACAGCCTGCCCTCGCCCTGTCTGCAGATCTGGGGGAACATGCCCTCCTGGGGTGCACATGACAGCAGGATTAAGCCCCCTCCCCATGCTCCCTGGACAAGCTGCTCGTGGCTCCATCCCATGCCCTGCTCCACTCCGCCTCCACAGCACCTGCCTGAACCCCACTCCCTCCTTCACCAAGGGGGCCTTGATCTGCCCCCTCACTTTCCCTCACAACAGACTTACCAGCCAAACCCGGCTGCTCTCCATTTTAAATATTTTATACCCATAGACATCTTCCTGATGGTATTCAGCGAAAGAGTGAAATCAGTCTCTGTAAAAATTATATATGGGGGGTGGGGGGGAAGGCCTTCAAAGATTTAAAGTATATTAAAGTTATTTCATAAAAAGTTCTGAAGAGCTGTTCTAGCTCCTATAGTTTCATAACTAAGAACCTTGCAGCTGCTACTGTAAAAGGCTGAATACATGATGGATGATCCTCTGATTTTATAGATCTGTTATAAAACCTAGCCTCTATTTTAGAATTTGCTGTTAGTGGCAGGCACAGAACTGCAGGAGCAAAAATAGAAACCACATTCAAGCACCTTTAAAAATCTGGCCCTAATTCTTCTATGTATGGGCAGAAGGGAGACAATAAATCCTATTTTAATTACTTCAGTGGGAAAACTGGGATCAAATCTTCTTATCAGTTGCCTCATTTCTGTGTTATAACACAGTGGCCACTCTTACCTCCTTGCATGTTTGCCTGCATTTAGTCTTTGCAATGGGTGAGGGGTCCTGATGTGTACGGGGACAAGAGACAGTTGCCACTGCAGAGCTCTCCCAGACCCATGCACATGGGGATAAACCCCATGCCCAGCAGGACTTCTCTGCACAGCTGGGGGCTGGCTAGGAGCTGTCCCGCTTCTAGCCAACAGCTCCTGGAAGACAGCACCCTAGTCCTGGCACTGCTTGGCTCCTGTCCCCTGTAGCCCCCTGGTGTTGGGGCAGACTGGGAGCAAATTTGCTCCAGGTCAGTATCTACACATGCACTACTGCACAGTTAGTTTACTACCTGTATTTACAGGTAGTAGCTAACGATGCAGTAGACTAATTTACTGCACAGTGTTACACACTTGTAGACAGTGAAACTTTACTGTGCAGCAGATTTGTTTGCTGAAAAAAAGCTTCTCGTGTAGACACACTCACTGTAATCTAAGGCTACTGAAGTAGTTAGTAAAATTCTATGACTGAACCAGGACCTTTCCCAGTTCGGCGCCAGGTCTTAGTGCTGCCTCAATTTTCCCTTTCTTGTACTGTTAATCATACTGCACACTTTAAGTATTTAAATCTTTCATGACTGAATTCTGGCTGTCATCTGGTGAAGTATGCTGAACTTGGCATGACTGAGGCAGAGCTCCAGCCATCTTAAAGGGTCAATTCTCTCTGTGATGGTGACCATATACTAAAAAGATATCTATGTAGTCATCATTACATGGACAGATGATCTCATAGGCTAAGGGGACTGCACAACAAGAATATTAGGTGAAACCCTGTAATCAGACAACTAACAGTAGATTCTGCTGGTAAAGAAATAATATGGGTTGACTGGAGTTCATTGTTACAGAATGACATATAAAGAATGAAAGTAAATGATTTCTAAGAGGTAGAATAACAATTGATGACTTTAGCATGTTACTGTTTGTTCCAGGTCACAAATACATGCTTCTATTTTAAAGTGAAAAACCCCACCTAAAAACTCCAAAGCCAACTTCTTGAAAATAATAACTTTCTCCTTTTCTTAGGTACAGTAATTATATTTAACGTTTTAAAATCTACAAGGCCTTTATATCCACCCACAGCAACCTCCTAGAAGTAGGGAGTTATTTTTCAGTCTAATTTGGGGTAGTTTTTGGTCAATGAAAGTGGAAGTTTCAGAAAGAAAGTTCACCGTTGCCTGAAATGACAAAAGAAAAAGTAATCCAACCTGTTCTCTTCTCTACAAGGATTTCAGTTTTGGGGTTATTTTCTCCACAATTTATTTTAATAATTTGCTGTGAATTATATATCAGTATTCTTTAATTTATTAACAAGAGAAATTAGCAATGAATTTTGTTGGAAGCATGAGGAACATCTGAACAGGAACTCTGATTTGGGACCTTAACTTCTAGGCTATGTTCACACTTTGGAAGGAGTCTTCCTGAACACACTCCACTTATCTGTCCCCACTTGGTTATACCAAACCCAGAACTGCATCAGTGAAACCACTCCATGCCTGCTCTCAAGCATCACTAAAGGTAGACATCTTGAGAGCAGGCACGGAGTGGTTTCATTCTTGAGTGATGGGGGTGTCCTTGGAATACTTCAGTACTACATTTCTAGGTTTGTAATGTGTGAGTAGGGTATGCTCAAAAGTGATCTTCCCCAGGGCCACTGGAAATGCAGTGCAGACATGCTAATGGTCTTATTCTTTTGGCTCCAGGGAAGGTTAAGTAGGAGTATGATGGAAGCTAAAGAAGGAAAGTTTGACATGGAGAATCTGAAGGAAATTTTATCTTCAACCATTAAAAAGGAGGCTATGATGTTGGGTATGAAATTAGGAGAACAAAGTACTGGAAGCAATGGTGAAAATTTAACACTCTGAAAAGGAGATGGCTAATTTCTCTATTGCAACAAGGAAAACGGGAGAAGATATAATCATTAACTGCCCTTGGAATGGTGATTGAGAGGTCAGACTTCGCTGGTTGTTGATGGACTACATTACCAACCAGATTTGTAAGGTATGTCTTGTTTGCACTCCTGAAGCACAAACACTGACAGTAAGGTCTCTCTTTTGTATTAGCCAGGGGCTGTGCTATTAACACGCATGGATCAGGACAGCCCCGGAGCTGCTGAAAAATCATGCCTGCATTAATAAATAATTTGTGTGGGCTAACACAATGAATTAGGGCAAAGAATTTGCCATTCTGTACATGAAGCAGGAGACACACAAACCAAATTTCAATATATGCCTGGATGAACTGAATACTACAAGGGCGGTGCTGAAGACTGCAAATCCAATTTTGCTGAATCACTGCCTTTTACCAGCTTGAACATGTAATTGAATCCCCACGTTTATTCACAAATTCTTAGGAGGAATTTCTTGCATTTAATTTGCGTGATCCAGGATTAGCTAATGTGGTTCAAAATAGAAAAAAGGTTGTCACTAAAAAAAGAAAGTGCGTATCAGCAGCCTATGGAAACCTTTTAAACATCTAGGGAAATGTTAAGTTTCTTGCTGTGTCTATTTTATCTTTAAGTTCCTTAACATTATTAAGATGTTGAATAAGGTCAATTATACAGATACAATTAGAGTTGGCCAAAACATTTCCAATAGAACATTTTTCTTTTAGAAAATGCCGATTTATCCAATTGATATGATCCATAAAAGCATGTACATTTTGATAAAATTTAGTCTAAGAAAAAATCAAAATGAGATATTCCTAACTGAAACAGAACATTTTGAATTTACATTTTGGAACTGAAACAACATGTTTCAGTTGACATGAAATGGTTTTTCTCTGAAATTTTACTTCAAAGGTAAATTTTGACTTCTTGGTCTGATCTGGGAAAAAAATCAATATCAATCTCTCCCACAAAATGTTTCAACCTGCTCTAGTTAAAATAATTATTGCCTCAAAATTATGTTTACCAAACACTGCAAGCCAAATCATCACTGTCTTTTCATCCCATAATTGAGATTAAAACTTCCCATAACTTATTTGCTAATGAGTTGTATAAAACAATAAATTCTCCAGAAAAAAAATGACAACATGTAAGGATACGTTGCTCATTGATCACAACCGAATTAGGTTTGTTACATACTCACTTTTACTTCCGTTCTTCTTTCACTGTATAAGCAAGTTTCCTTTTAGGATGGGCACGTAAAAAAACCCCAGTCCTGGGAGGTATTGAATGCTTCTTGGAAGTTGCCAGGAACTTTCAGTTCCCATTATGTGAACTGCGTAAGAGACTGCATGACTGGATTCTTACACTGTGCTGCATTGTATCCTTTCTAAGATGATGACAACAGTACCTTTGGCAGCTTGTGTTTCTGGCATTGGATCACTTCCCAATCTTATATTCTGATTATGGTTGTGTGGGCACAAAAGAAAGAAAAACAAAACTGCTGGCAGTATACTCACCAGTGGCACTCCTTGCAGTGTGCATCAGCAGGGAAAACTAATGTGGAATACAACAGTCTGTTATGTCTCAAACATCAAGGGCTCTCAGAGTAAATGTTTAACAAGAGGAACTCTCTTCTCCTTTCAACCTCTTTTGACAGAATGTCAAATCTTGTCCCAATTCAAATTAAGGGCAGAATCTCAATTTGACTTCAATGGGAACAGAACTGAGCCTAGATACACTTGTGCCCTAATTCAGACAAGCTTAGTTGCACTGAATGTAGTGTTGCTGAAAGCTGTGGTGTTACCCATGGGAGTAAAGTGCTATTAAAGGAAAGCAATGGCATTAGAATCTGGCAAGAGTGACTGGGTCCCTTCCTTCGCATCCCACCTCATTTCTGCTTAATTCAGGCCAATCCATTCTCTATGCTGAACTTTTTACAAGATTTGAAAACACATAAGCAGAAATAGAAAGTGAAAACCATGAAGAAGTGCATGGTAGAAAGTGTGATCAGAGACAATTACATCAGTTAATGCATAAAATGCTATCAGTCAGGCATACCTTCATAACACTTGGTGACTCTTACCTGCATGAGTTGCTGCTTCAGTTTCTGTATTTCTGATATGTTGAGCTCACTGAAGAGGTCAGAGACTGGGTGCAGAGATTCGCCTTTCCTAACTGCAGGAGTCCGGTAATCTCCATTTAGCTTCACAAGAGGCCCATGAATGTGCCCATTCATTTTGTCATCATTATTAGGTTCACTTCCATCCTCTCCAAACTTTAATCCATCTACTGATATATTAATGTGATTATTGTACACACTATCATTTATGTTGATATACTGGGACAGTTCCTTTCTCAGATTGTTCTTTTGCTCCCTCTCATTTTTTAAAGTCTCCAGGGCTTCCTCCAACTGATGTTCAGCAATCTCCTTCAATCTGATGGCATCTTCGAGCTGGCTATTTAGCAATACTGTCTCCTCCTCAAATCGTTTAATCTCATGCTTTAAGCCTTCATATTCAACCTGAATTAGATAAGACAAAGAACATTCATAATACTAAAATTTGGGTCATAAAAACCTGCCATTTTCTAGCCGTATTGAACTATGCACTAAAAGGAATAAAATTATGAACACCAGGCACTGTCTGCAGCTGCAAGGAACACAGCACTCAGAAAATTCAGGAGGTACTCTCTATTCATTATTGTGACAGGCACTTTTTAAGGCAAATTAAATTCCATGTTGGGGTGATTTATTAGGAGACTACGTTACTGTATTTCATGGAAGGACAGTCATTTACCCAAAGGTGACACAAATGTAGGTGTATTATGACACTGTGTATAGATGAGAAGTTAACAATAGTGTGTGACTTACCTTTTAGAGGTTTTTTTGAGGTGCCTTAATTCTCAGCAGATATAGCCACTGATGCCCAAAGCCTTAAAGGTGGTTTCTTCCTATTTAGGTGCCTAACTCCCATTGATTTCAATGATTATTTGGTGCCTAAATAACTTTTCAATCTGGGCCCAAGTATTTATAGTATAATGAAAACTGAACAAATTACAGGGCTTTTAAAAATAATTTATTATGGTTTTAATTTTAAAAATAAAAGGCTAATTACCCAATAACCCCGACTGATAACCCAAACTGCTATTGTGAAGAATCCCCATTTAAACATAGAACAGAGAAGAGAACCAGTCACCTATTCCTCTAGTTGTCCAGGTCCCTTGGTGAGCCAATACTAGGTAGCAGAAAGAGACCCGATTTATAAAATGCATGTTATTATCTTTATTTCCATACCGATAGATGTAAATACATAAAACAAGCAAGGCAAGAATATACACATAAATTCTCATGAATCTCAGGCTGCTGACATGTTCAGTTGAAGGCATGATGGGATCTGATCAATGCTCCCAACTCCTCCTCCTGCCATGCCTCATTGTGTGTGGCAGGACATGCAGGCACCTATACACATGCAGCAGGGCTGGTCCAATGTGCTGTGATTATTTGAGTCTGCTAGAGCAGTGGTCTCCAAAGTGGGGTGCGTGCACCCCAGCAGGTGCGCAAGACGATCCATTGGGGTGCGGGAAGAAAATATTAGAACTTCTATTTATATTTATTTTTTATCTAAAAAAATAAGAAGGAAATTAAGCTTTACTAATATTTAATACACGGATTGACACTGGCGCCCTCACTCAGTCCGTATGTCAGACAGTCACGTGTCACATACGGTACGTGAGGTAACCTGAGGGAAAAGTGGGAGTTCCACAACGCGGAGGGGTTGACAGTGGCGCCCTCACTCGTTAGTTCACTTTCAGCGTATTGAGATGTATTGCAGTTTACGTGTGCCTGGTTAAGTGGATTTACGGATTACATTGTCTAGTTTTAACTAAACTAACCCTCACAAAATGGACAAGTGGCTTAAAAAGATTCCTGCAAAGAAACCGTGGATTGAAGATAAAACTAATAATTCGAGCACAAGTGAACAACAAGAAAATGGCAGAGCTGACACTTCTCCTACCCCCAGTATGAGCTCTTCGTCAGCCACATTACGAGGTAAAAACAATGACGATCTAATCAGATCTGACAAGAAGTCGGCCAAAACAATTCGAAATTATCAAGACGACTATTTGAAATATGGATTTACATCCACTATCGTTAACGATGAACCTTGCCTTTGCATAATTGGTGGATGGGATTGAAAAATTAGTATCATCATTTAGTGAGCACAGCCAACAATGCACTTCTTCCATTTGGATCTACGTATCTTTGTGAGCTATCTTTTTCAGCTATGACAGCCATTAAAACCAAGTATCGAAATAAACTGAACTTAGAGCCAGACCTTTGAATCACTGTATCACAAAGTGTTCGACCAAGATTTTCAAAAATAATGAAGCATATTCAATCACATTGCTCTCACTAAAAAATATTATTAATAATAATTTTTTTAGTGAGAGCAAAAAGGTTTTTGTACTGTTAATAAATAAAATATTTTTTATATTTTAAAATACTGTTTATTTCATCTTTATCTCATCCTTTTTTAATTGTATTTTTGTGTATGTTTTATAATCTACATAATATATTCATACAGTAGTACATGTATATAATTTATAAATAAATAAATATACATATATTGGGGGTGCGTGCTCAAAAAATTTTTACTGATTGGGATGTGCAATCAAAAAAGTTTGGAGACCACTGGACTAGAGTGTGGTAATTACCACACTCCAGCAGACTCCAGCGTCACGTGTATCAGCATCCCCACACTGATAAATGGTGGCAGGGGTGCTTGTATGGCAAGCTTTAGTTAAAGTACTCCCACCAGCATTTTTCAGTGTGGGGACACTGATACATATGATGCTCCAGGCACTTTAATTATAGCGGCTCTGAATTAAAACGCCCTCCCCATCCCTGCTCTGCAACACATGTATAAATACCTGTCATCATGACCCCAGACCCCTCTGCACCAGCAAAGATATCCAACAATCAGCTGATTGACGTCTGGCTCTGAGGACCCCGCAGGCCAGTTCAAGGCCCAGATTCAGCTGCCAATCAGGACCACAACAGGACTTAGACTGACCACAGTATGGTCCCAGTCAGGTGATGCTCATCACCTGGCAGGACTCTCACTGGGGCTTCCTTAGATACTTGATAAAAACCGTAATTAAGCTGTTGAACTGTTTTTAGGACATAAAGTGACTGAATATTACAGAAGCTAGGAAACACTCAATTATAGTTTGAGTGTTTATAGGTTGTATATAGGTTGAGAGTATAGTTATACACCAACTTGTATATAGGTTGAGTGTATAGTTATTGAAATGAAGGAACTGCTTCATAACCTGTAATCCTGTGCTGGCTTACGATGTGTTAAAAAGAAGGCAATTGCTGCCAGTTTAGTCAGCTAAATCACATATGCATCATGACAAGTTAACATTTCTGGGAGAGGAACAAATCCCTTTTCTTCAACCTAAAAGACAACTGCTTTCTTGATTATCTAATTAGAAAGATTTCCATAAAAAATTAACATTTTTTTAAGCAATATAAATAGATGGCATATACTTATTGGTGGATCTGAGTCTCCTAGGGCACATCTACATATGCAATTTAATGCATATTAACCTATTTTAATGCTTATTAAAGCATCACAAAAAACTGGGCCCTTTGGCTAATGCTTATTAAAATAGGCTAATATGCCTTTTTCTAGTACCCGCTTGGATATATCTACACAAGAAACCCCATAGTATAGGAATAGCCTCTTCACATGACTGAAATGTTTTTCCAGACAGTACTGTCTAAAGAGACATTTCAAACGGGCAAATGGTGGAACAAATTTTTTTTCTTTTAGGCTCTGGGTCTGGAAGAAAAGAAATCCTCTAAATCAGTTGAAAGAATTACATAAGTAAAAGGGGCTATATCTGACGAATAATATTGCGTTACAATAAATTTTTAATAAAAAGTCACGTAACATACAAAGATCAATAGCCTTCCAGGTCATGTTATGCAGATTAAAAGCAATCAATGTCATATTTTTTTAAGCAAGCACTTATATTTTTTTCTACACTTACCTGATTCTGTTTCAGTGTGGACACCAGTTTTTGCAAAGTGATATTTTCTTCTTCAAGCTCTGTGTAATCTTGAAGAAGTCTTGACTCTCGAAACTTATATTCTCGGATTTCATCTTTCATCCGTATTCTCTGCAGCTCCACCATTTCATTATTCTGAAGGTGAAATAAAAATTTCAACACATTATTTCCACATTAACATCCAACTTGTTACTAGTCCCAGCAGCATGAATGGTTAACTGTGGTCCCAGGTTAGGAAAAGAAAATAATTAAGCTGTCAAAGTCTTGTAAAGGTGTGTGTTAAAAAAGCAGCACAACTTACATTTTAAGCCACACCACAGTTCTTAATATTTATTATACCACTGGATGTGCACAAATTGGAATATAAGAAAAGGAAATTTGATCAAAACAGTTCCAAGATTAAGTTTATATTTAATTTGAAAATTTTCTGGCACTTTATCATCTCATTATATTTCTTTGCTAGAAGTCTGCTTGAAGAGCTTGAATCAAATGCAATTACCTACTGTTTTTCACTAAAGGGCACTCTTCTAAAGTCATACATAACAATGAATAGTGACATCTGTTTTGTAGATAGCTACTATTAAGCAATAGGAAATCATGTATGTATCAGCCTCATGTTTTGATGAATGCAGGTATGTGTGTGCTACACTGTTGTAAGTGACTATTTAAAGAACTGAATACAGAATTATTCAACAGAGATGATCATCAAACCTGGAACAGAGTTGCAATTAAAGTGCCTGAGGATAATATTAAACAGTTCTTTAAGGCTAAAGAGTGCCAATATTCATGGTTTCTTGATTCAGAGCATACTTCAAGTGGTGTATTTACATGCAGTTTCAACGATAACCTAAGATATACTACTATTTCAGTCAACTTTATTAAATTGGACACTAAAGAATTCCCACAAAAAAGTGCCTGACAGACCTATTACCAAGCTTTAGGGATAGCTTCATAGATATTAGGGTTGGAAGGGATCTATTAAATCATTGAGTCCGACACCCTGCCCTGGGCAGGAATGAGTGCTGGGGTCAGATGACCAGGTGTCTGTCCAATCTCCTTTTAAACACCTCCAAGGAAGGGGACAGCACCACCTCCCTTGGAAGCTTATTCCACATTTTAGTAACTCTCACTGTCAAGAATTTTTTCCTGATGTCCAGTCTGAATTTGCTCTCTTCCAGTTTGTGGCCATTATTTCTAGTTACCCTGACAGACGTCCTGGTAAACATTGCACTCCCTATTTCTTGCTGCCCCCTCCCTGATGAGTTTGTAGGCGGCCATGAGATCACCTCTCAGCCTCCTCTTGAGGATATATGGCTGCTTACAGATTTTAAAAAATGAAAGAAAAAAGACAACCCACCCCTTTCCCCATGCTTTACTGGAAGAAGCAGCAAGTTACTTCGACCCAGCTCCACAGCATTTGTATAGATCGGGTGCTTCAGTGGGGCTTTTTGCTACTTTTATCTAATAGCCAAGTCAATCAGCTATTAGGCAAAAGCACCAAAAAGCCCCACTAGAGTGCCCAATCTATATAGATGTTGGGTGAGCCAGGTCCAGCTAACGCGATGCTTCTTCTGGGCACGCACTGGGCTCAGCAAGGGGCGGATGGAGTTTAAATTAAAGCGCCATTTTTTATTATTTTTTTTAATGTTTGCAAGCAGCCATAGAGGCTAGTTGCCCCAAAGTTATTCTTTGTAAGGCACTCAGTTTCTGGAGTGACCTTGAGTCTCCCTGGGCCATCTATGATAAGTGGCCGTTAGGTTAAACTGATATCAGACTGTACATGTGAGAGAAAGTTGATGGATGTGGTCTATAGGCATCAGAGAACTGCTTATCTTAAGTTCTCCTTCTTTTTGATTAACAGCAACAAGCATTATCAATTATGTTCCTTGTGGAAGGAATGTTGAACACAGCAGTAGTAGCTTTATGTGGGGACATGACAGAGTATTATATATTGAGAAAAACGTCTGTACTCATAATGATAGGGCAGACTACATCTCTGCTGTGAGGCCAGGGGGAGCACATACAGAAAACCATAGCACTATGATTTCTTTGTAGAGAGTACAGTCATAGACCTTGTGTCTTTTTGAAATGTTAAATATCTCCTTAAGAAACAGTTACTAAAGAAACTGTATTTCTGAGAGCTGTTAGTCATGGACTGTCTCTGTAAATTGTTGCCCAGCAAATGCAATGGTAAATGTTCTCAACTCTGATTTGCCTTATCATAAAGAAAATACTTAGTTTGGCATCTGGGCTAAGGAACTAAAATTCATGAAAGATTAAAATAATAAATAGCCATAAAATAGGTTAGAATATAAGAACAATGCTCCATATAAGCTCAGTATCCTGCTCAAGCAGTGACAAGTAGAAGATGCAAGTATCAGGTTGATACAACAAAGCTTAAATAACAAGCCCTTACAAAGCAGAGACAAAAGACACATGCTGATCACCAGACTGAAGACTGGAATTCCCAGTGCATCTGCACAATTCTGATTCTATTTGCACATGCCTGCTGGAACTAAAATGGAGGGGAGCTCATACCTTGTAGCTCAGTTGTTAGGCCACTTGTGCCACTTGTGCAGGGAGTGGGAGACCTATGCTTGAACCTGTATCTCCCACTTCCCAGGACAGGGCTACAACAACTAGGTCATGAGTTGGCTAGGACTATCCAACAAGTTAAACAGAGACTTGACTGGGAGGATTTAGTGAGAGATGATCCTGTCTTGATCAGGAGGCTAGACTAGATGACCTCATGAGGTCCCTTCCAGCCTAACTTCCCTATGATCTTGAAAGCCAGTCCCTAATCTTTAACCACTGATTACTGACCTTTGATACCTGACCTCAGGCTGAATCTACCCCTTGACTTAATGTTCCTAAATATTAACCCCAGGTTCTTGACCTCTTGCTGATATCCTGTTTCCAACCTGTGGCTTGGTATTCGGAATACTAACAAAAGTCCACAGCTCCAGCCATTGGGATCAGGCTGCTCTCACTGATCCTGACCAAAGGAAAGAGCCCATTCAGTTATTCTTGTAGCAATCACTGCTGATTGAGCTCTAAGGAACACATTAGAGCAGGGGTGGGCAAAATGCAGCTGGGGGGGCCGGATGTGGCTCACCAAGCCATTCTATCCAGTTCACAGGGCCCCTAAAAAATTTAGAAAATTAATATTTATCTGCCCTGAGCTGCATGTTATGCAGCCCTTGATGGCTTGCCAGAACTCAGTAAGCAGCCCTCTGCCCAAAACAATTGCCCGCCCCTGCATTAGAGGTTTTCCCAGAATTGTCTCCAACTTGTATATATCCTCTATTATATGAAGATCAAAACTAAAATAATATAAATTCCGGGTTACGAAACCAGTGTGGTTATGTCAGAGGCCCTAAAAGCCTGTTTCTGGCACCCAGTAAAGGACAGAAAGCAATTATTGTGTCCAGCTGAACCAAATCAGCTTAAACAGAGCACAAGGCCTGAAAGAATGCATTATAAAGGAAGACCTCAGATTAGACAATCCAAATATACTATATCATAACTTAAACACGTCAGTAAGTAATAACCGAAGTAACCAAATGTATTAAATTTAGCTTAATTTATAATAGGTGCATTTGTATTTGGTTCCTCAAATAAGTTGTAAAATCAAAGCAGCCATGCCAGTAAATACCATAAATAAGACAACAAGAAAAAGAATGGTGACAAACAACATTCCATGATGGAGAAAGAAGGAGATAAGGAAGCCTCTCTTCCAGAAGTGTACCTTTCAGAAACCATAGATCACAACAAACACCTTCAAATTCCACAAGAGAACTGGTTCGGTCCAGTTCCAAAAATTTCAGTGAAATAAAGAAATCAGAATATATCCAATGGAAATGTAGATAGATGCAGATCATTAATGGTTGTATATCTGTGGTTGCAAACCTGGGGAAGCTAGGAAATGAAGGATCCGAGGAAGAAAACAATCAAATGTTCAGAGATCCTGGAGTCTGGCCTTTGCCCATCCTCCCAGGTGTTTTTGCATTCCCATTGCATGATCTGAATGCTAGTTACATTTACATTAACTTTCCAGTAAAGTGTTTCTCTTGAGAAGAGACAGGCACGCTCATTCTTACTGCCAGGGCCCCGTCCAACAAAACAAGCTCCCTTTGTCCCTTTGGGGATAGAGACTCTGAGTAAAATTTGAGAACGCCGCTGCATATTATTATTAAGCAAGATCAGACCCATTATGTCAATCTTTCACGAGCCACAACGAAGCTACACGCAAAACTAATGAAAGGCATGCAACCAAGCACTATGTCAGGGACTAAAATCTAACTGCTTACAATTGTTGGATCAAACAAAAGTGAGGTCTGATAAGAACAAACAAATACTAATAAACCTATTATTACATTCTCAGTTTTACAAATCCCATCACACACTGGGCACATCTACATGTGAAATTAGTGTTCCTGAATAAACTCTGGCACAGTTTGTGCTGGAGTTTATTGCTCCTCGGCACAGCATTTACATGTGTGCTCAGGACCACAGCACATTGAGACAGAGTGGTGCAGTCCTGGCTAGTGTAGGGCCTGGGGAATCAGCTTGCCAGCCCAAAGCTGCTCCAGTCTGACTCAATGTGCTGTGGAGGGGCTGCCTAGAGCAAGAGGGTGCTACAGTGTGGGGGTAGCTGGCAGGTAGTATCTGCACTGTAGTCCCCTCATGCTCCAGCCAGCCCCAGTCACCAGCTACATGAGTGCTGAAGTGGAGTAACTAACTAATTAACTGGTCAGGTAGTGTTGGGCAGTCCTATTCTATGGCAGAATTAATTAGTTTGCTCTGGCCTAATAATGGTGCACGTGTACAGTGACGCTTTACTGTGGAGTGAATTAGTAAATTCTGCAGTAAAGCACACATGTAGATATACCCATTGAGATACAGTAGAGACCTTTTAAAAATGGTTCAACAAAACTGACCCCCCATTGCCCTGTCATTAGCAACATTCAAAAGAAAGACTGCCTGGAAAAAGGAAGAAGGAAAAAATGGCTTGAGATGAAAGTACCTGAATAAAAAGGCTTTATGTTGAGTCTTGATGCATTGCTTCACTGACTACAAGCTGCATCATTCTGGATAAAATTTTGAAATTCACTGAATTTGTTAAGAGTAAGGTA